GGCCGTCCCACATCGCCCAATGACGCGCAGGTGTTGACCCGCCGTCGCCCACCCGTGGGAATGTGTTGGGGAATTGTGGATGCTGACGCGCCTCCCGCTTTCGAACGCTCGTGGTGGGGTGGTGTCGTCGCGCCATCTTTGGACCCGTGCGCGGGTGCATCTGGCGGCCCTCTCCTGGAAGAGGGGGCTTCTCGCTGTCCGGGCGCGTCGCCGCCCCAAGCCGCAAGCCGCGCTTCCAAGGCACCGATGCGCGCCCCTTGTTTCTGGCGTTGGGAAAGGGTCTTCTCCAAATGGCGTTCGCGCCCGGCGAGCGCCGATTCTCGTCGCGCAAGAAGACCGTCCGCCGCCGCAACGATGGACGCACGCGTCGAGAAGTAGTTATTCGCTTCCTCCCACTGGTGTTGAAGCTGCGCGCTTCGATTCCGCGCGTCCGCGGCGGCGACGGCGTAGTGCGACTTCGATCTCGGCGTTTCCACGATGGTCAGCCCTCGCCGCGCCCCCCAACTGACGGCCCGTCCCCACACGATGTGCAGGAGCAGCTGGGTCTCAAAATTTTGTACTTGAGGCGCCCGGAGATCCGCAATGTGCCCTGTAAGGATTGGATCCCTCCCGGTGCTTTGCGATGTTTCCTGAAATCAATCTTGAGCCGCTTATGGTGGCGCTGGCTGTCGCCATTGATCCCGACTGTTCCTTTTCATCCATTTAGGTGAGTTGCGCCTGTACATCGCCACGCTGACGTACCAGATCCGCCATGCGATTACCGATAAGGCTCCACTCCGTTGCCGTGTAAAAGGACCCATCGCCATTTCTTTATATGCGCTTGCAGGAATCAGGTTTGACTGTAAAAATAAAAATGAAATAAAGTAATCAAAGTCGTCTAGACGCCATTGGTTTTCTGATTCCTAGAATCGCGGTCAACCAAGGAATCATAAAGCTAAAAAAAATGCCGCACAGAGTTTGCTTTATCAGGATATGTATTAAGCTAGATAGCCAGTCTCTCACTCGAACAATTTCTTCAAAAGCTCCTAAAAAAGGCGCGAAAGGCACCTGATACTTTCTGGGGCAACCTTTTGCTGGTATTACTGAGCCGGCGGAAATTCAGGGAGTGTGTTGGCTACTGCGATAAGGTCCTTGAAAACGAGCCACAGATTCCCAAGGCACTCTATCGACGCGCGAAGGCAAATTGCTTCTTTTGTGAGTGGGATGAAGCCAAGCGTGAAGTGGAGCAGTTGCTCGCCATCGATGCGCAGAACACCGATGCAAAGGTGGTTCTGCAGCAATTGCAGGAGAAACGAAGGGCATGTGAAAATGAGCAACAGGCTATTTACAAAAAAATGTTTACATCATAGCCTTTTTTTTTCTCCGTCTTTTCAGTGTCGACTGGGCCAAATACCACTCTTTTTCCTGTGTTTTTTTTTTCAAGCCACCTATTATTATGAACAATAAAATTATTATTATTATTATTATTATTACACTGCAACTTTCTCCATTTTTTTATCTTTCCCTCCTACTCGTCAATACTGGTTGGTGCGAGGACAATTTTTTTATTTTATTCCTCTGTTACATCGGACTGGCATGAACGTATGTATTTTTGGTTGGTTTTCTTTCCCTACTTGTGGTACGGCACATCCTCACTCTATTCTTGTTCCTGCTCTTTCTTTTCTCTATTCTTTCTGTTCTTTTTTTTTTTCCAATTCCGTTTTGTTTGGTTGGTGGCAAAGCTGTCGTATCTTTGTGCGCGCGCAACTTTTTAGTTTTTACTACTTTATCCCACAGATACAGCGGGTGACAGATGGCGGAGGTACGGTTTGCGGTGCGGCCCACGGCGGCTCTTCACCATGTCGGCTTTGAAGTGGAAACAAGCCGGAAACAAACGCAGCTGTACGTGAGCCGCCGCGGTCTTGTTCTTTACGTTCCACATCCTTACTTCATTATTAAGAACATGCGTCGTTCCTTCTGGCATGGGGTTGACAAAGTACAGTTTGCCCTTTACCCCATTCCACTGTCCGTCGTGACCGCGTTCGGCTTTGGTGTATTTTTGTGGGTCCTCAACTCGCCTGCTGACGCTTGGATCCGCGTAAGTTGTGTTTCAGACATCCTCTGGCGTCTTGAACGAAATTTTATTTCTGCCCGCATTCCCTCCCGATACCGTACGCCGGCGCTCTGCGCAAACGTTGCCTTTGGCGCCGTGACGCTCTTCACGACGCTGCAGCGCTTCGTCCTTCGAAAGTTACTGAGCTACAACCGCTGGATATACGAGGGCCAGGGGAAGCTGACCCGCAAGAAGATGCTCTGGGGTTTCATTCTCAAGACGTTTTTTATGCACAACCTCAAAAGGACCGGGGCGTACGGGAGTTGTTTGCCCTCGCAACCGCTGCCGGATCTTAAAATTACGGTGCAGCGTTTCATGAAATCAATGGTGCCATTTTACGAGGGGAAAACGGCTGAGTGAGAGCATCTGAAAAAATTATCCGAGGACTTTCTGCGGAATGAGGGGCCGCAGTTGCAGAGATACTTGTGGCTAAAGTATTTACTTGCAGATAATTACATGACGGACTGGTGGATCAAGTATGTATACCTTGCTCAGCGCGAAAGTCTTTGCATTAACTCCAACTGGTTTGGGGTGGCGTTTGCCAAATATTTGCCCACCCCGCTTCAAGCTTCCTCTGCGGCGGCATTGGTGCACAACCTTGTTAAGGTAAAGAAAAGTCTCGACAGGCGCACGTTTTCCCCGCAGTTTAGCGGGCTTGTTCCACTTGACATGAATCAGTATCGCTACGTCTTTAACACCACCCGTATTCCAGGACGTGAGATGGACGTGTTGGTTCAGCACGAGGGAATTAAGCACATTGTGGTCATCCACAAGGGTCGCTTTTACCAACTTGAGGTGTTACACCCGCTGACGAACCATCAGCTCACACCGTACCAACTTGAGATGGCGCTGGAATCTATCTTGCATTCCGAGGATGAGACTGACCCTGTCGAGGCGCTCATTCCTGCCTTCACTACCGCCCCTCGTGCATAGTGGGCGGACATTTGCGACAAGCATTTTGTGAACAATGCTTACAATGTGAAGCCGCTGCGGGTGATTGAAGAAGCCATTTTTGTACTTTGCCTTGATGAAATGGAACCAAAATCCCTTGAAGAGGAGAGCATGATGTACTTGTGCGGCAACGGCCACAATCGTTGGTGCGACAAGAGCTTCAACGTCATTGTCACGGAGGGCGGCCACTGTGGTGTGCATGCGGAACACTCATGGGGTGATGCCCTGACCCTCGCAAATGTGGTGGAGTACAGTCACGCTTCGGATGAATTTAAGGAGTTATACACAGAGGATGGGCATGTAAAAAAACTACCCGAAGATGAAGTGGCACTGACTGAGGGTAAATTTAAAGTGTTTGTCCCTAATCGCATTCGGTTCACCACTGATGCCGTGATGAAACGCGCTGTCCAAGGCGCGCAGGAACGGTGCATTCGCGAAATAAAAGATGTTGACATCCGCGTCTGCCGCTTTGCCGATGACGGCAAGGGGTTCCCGAAGAAGCAGCGCTGCATCCCTGACGCGTGGGTGCAGATGGCAATGCAACTCGCGTACTTCCGCGATCAGGGCCACTTTGACCAGTCATACGAGGCAGCTTCGATGCGTATGTACCGCAAAGGGCGCACTGAAACCATCCGCACTGTGAGTGAGGAGTCCTGTGCCTTTGTGCGGGCAATGGAGCAACCTTCGCTGAGCGCAGAGGCGAAATTAAAACTTCTTCGTGTTGCGTGTGAACGACACCAGAAGACATCACCTGACGCCATTGCTGGCTGCGGCATTGACCGCCACCTCTTCGGACTCTATTGCGCAAGTACCGGCTTTGAGGTGGCATCCGAGTTTTTGCAGGCGGCGATGCAGTCAAAGTGGAAGCTCAGCACGTCGCAACTGCTGACGCGGCAGCTGCCAGCCAAATTTTACCCGCCAAGCGATGAACCGTTTGAAACACCCAATGGCGGCTTTGGCCCTGTGCAAGACGACGGTTACGGGGTGTGCTACTGCTTATACGGCGAAAGTCTGTTTTACTTTACCATCACTTCGAAGCACAGCTGCAAATCGACTTCTTCGACGCGGCTTGCGGAGCACATTAGGAGGGCACTGCGTGATATGGCTGCACTTACAGGATGGAATTAAGAGGCAGCCCCCCGAAGAGAGCAGCGAGCATGAGCGATGATAGTCACGCAATTTGGATGTAAATAAATGCTTACTTTCCATTTCCGATCCCTTTTTTTGTGTGTTTTTTCTTGGCGTCCGTGTTATACCTTGTTCATGAATTTCTGCAGCCACAGATGCACGCGAAGGCAGAAAGCAGAAGAGACAGTCTTTTCTGCTCCTATTTATTATTTGTTGCAAGCAGTACTGTTTCTCTCCCTTTTCTTTTCTTTTTTTTTTTTTTAATTTTTTTGTCTCGTAACGCAACGAAAATATCCGATACGGCTACTTCTACCGTTGGCGATTACGTTTACTGTCACACTTGGATTTTCATCGTCGTTTTACGCAGCACGTTTTTTTTTCATGCACTTTTTTCGGTCATCCCCTTTTATTAGTAGGCGAAATTGTGTGAAGGGGGTGCTCAGAAGGCCTTTTTGGAGCTTTTTCCATATATATGTGTGTGTGCGGGGCGGGTGATTTCCCTTTTTTCTTTCTTTTTTTCTGCGGCCGCTTCCGAGGTCGTTAATGTCTATTGTGGGGCGAGGTGCCGCGTGTGCGCAAGCGGGAAGAGGGGCAACGAGAGCCGTCGTAACTCGCATTGTTTTGCTTGCATTTCTTTTTTTTCTTCCTTTTATATATTTCTTTTAATTTCCTTTGCTTTTCTTGTGCCTGCGCGATTCTCCGCATTTGTCTCTTCTTCCTCCTCCTCCCTTCTTGCTGTCCAAAGTAACAATCAACTATAATAATAATAATGAAACCGTAGAGTTGCGTCTCGGCGTGGGGCCCCTCTGGGCTTTTGTTTTAGAGCTTGATGCAGCCGGAGTCGGGAACGAGAGGTGCGACAGGCCATATCCTCGTGCCGGGGTTTCTTGGATGCAGTGGGTCCACAGACTCCAAGTACACGTATGTACGTTACTTGGCGCATGGCAGTTCCTGGGAGACGTGGAAGGTGCTGGATGTGAGCGACGGAAAACCATATGCACTGAAGATAACTTCTCTTAAAAATTACCGTGAACCAAAGTTGTTGCGGGTGCGGACAGAAGTGCGCTGTTTGGAGTCTATTGACCACTTTGCATGCATTCGGCTTCACGAGAAGCCTGAGACAGAGTCGCACTTTTTTTTCGTCATGGAGTACTGTGACGCCGGCGATTTACGCTATCAGATGCGCGATGGCGGGAAGCTGCTGGAGCACCAGATAGTTCATATTCTGCTAAAGCTTGTCCTGGCCCTTCACTACCTCCATACGAAGAAAAAGATTCTCCATCGTGATCTCAAACCTGCCAATGTTCTTTTGAAAACGACGGGACTCTTGAAGCTGGGAGACTTTGGCTTCAGCAACGCGTATGACACCATCAGTGGTGACGTGGGCCTCACCATATGCGGCACCCCCGCTTACGTTGCGCCAGAATTATGGCGGAATGAGCGCTACGGAGCAGCCGCCGATATTTGGTCGCTTGGTGTTATCCTGTACGAGGCCATGACCGGCAGACGCCCGTTTGAGGGCACCAAGTATGAGGAGCTGCGCCACAAGGTTCTTCATGAGGAGGTGCTGCCCATAAAGACTTCGCACAGTGTGGATTTGAAGCGCACCGTGTACGCACTACTCCGCAAGTCGTCCGTGGAGCGTCCAGACACCACTCAACTTCTGCGCGAGCCCCTCCTCGTCGCAGCGCTGAGTAACTTTCCGGAGGTTCTAAGAGTCTCTGATGTGGAGGATTCGTTGTTGCAGCGCGTCTTGCATGACATTAGCCCTGAGCAGCTGCTGCCTCGTCCACGGCTGGACCACTCCGTGCTCTTTTCTGGCATGGTGTGGAAGCTCAAGCCGACGCAGGATTATCAGGAACGCTACATGGAGCTGGCGGACGGTCAATTGTCGCTGCTGCTTCGACCCGGTGGGAGAGTCGGCTTCCGGGGATGCATCCCGCTGCTGCGGGTGGAACAGGTGGCCTGCATTGACCCCAACCACTTTGCGCTGAAGATCGAGGGGGCGGACTGGTGTTTTTTCCAGACACCACAGGCGGCAGTCTGGGAGGAGCAGCTACGTGCGGCGCTGGGAATATAGTAGCCTCCTTCATTTCTCTGCGTCTTGCTGCGCCCCCGAAGGCCCCTCGCCCTAGTTTGCAAAAAGAACAAAAATAAAAAAGGTTTGAAAATGGCCGGAAGATAAAATTGTTCGGCGTGTATTTTTGCATTGCATACACCACACAAGCAAAGATGTGTATATATAAATATATAAATATATATTTTTTTTTCTGGCTTTACGCCGATTCACTTCTTCTCAC